TCTGCCAATACATTACGAGGCACACTAGCTGATTCAGAAAAAAGGAAGAAAACAAAATCAGAGTGAAATCTACATCCTCACACTCCAATTTCACGGACCATTCTGAATTATTACTTCAATAGAACGCTGCTCTACAGGAAAGCACCCAATGGGGTAGCCTCTGAAAATAAAGTCCAGTCCCAGCTAGGGTGTATCAAGGTGGGCACAACTAAAGATTGAACTGTACAAAATCACTAGTTGTTTCAGAAAATCTTGGCCATGTTGGACAGGGAGGTTTGTGGCAAGCTTGTGCAGAAGGCATTCACCTTGTGCACTCCGTGCACAGCTTTTCAGGAGCTTTTTGTGCACTATTATGCAGGGTAGAGTCAGGGATGTGTGACGTGTGTCCCAGGAAGAAGGGGGAGTAGGTGAGACATTGGAGAATTGGCTTCTATACACATCCAGTGACCATTCTCTCTTTCTAATAGAGAAAGGGGTGTCACAAGAGGGATGGTTCCCTCAGGGCTGCAACAACCCCCAGGGCCATATTGCATACATGGAAGAAAAATTCCACAGAATCCCATCTGGAACAGTCTATGGAATGAGAACATACACAGCTAAGGTGTGGTTTGTGACCCATCCAGACTTCTGATCTACAGGCCTTTCTGCTTTTACCCTTGAAACCGCTTGTACTGATTCAAATGTCAGGGAAAGGGTCTGTTTTCTAATTGTTTCTCCCTTGTATTCTAGGAATGAATTTAATATTCTCTCAGTCTGACAAGCTGGGTCTCCCCCTCTCCAACAATACTCAGCATTTACATTCAGCTTTTCAAGTTCGTAGGCTGTGTCAGTATCTACATGCTCATTTACAGCTCTGGATATCTGATCTTCTGCAAAACGCTGCATTGATTTGTGTAAATTATTAGTTTGGGCCACTAAGGTTTTTCAGAAAAGGATGCCTATGATTAGGCTACTAGGCCATTATTTAGGCCTCCTCACATGTGCATGGCAGGAGGTGCAACTGTGGGATCACACACTAGATCCCATCATGCCTTATTGCTGGTGCAGAGGTGCCTAATCCCAGGCTCACCCTGCACCAGCAAGAAGCAAGCTCCCATGCCTGGGAGTCCCGTGCACCCCAGCTGAGGGGCTCCCAGCTGCAGGGGGACCCCGTGCACCCCCAGGGCTGAAGGATCACCCCTGCTGAAGGGCAATCCCCCCTGGTTCAGTGGGGTGTGGGAAACCCCTGGGGTAGGAGGATTTCCCTTTTTTGATCCTCTAGCTCCAGGGGTTTCCCACAAACCTGGGGCTGGGGGATCTTCCTGCAATGATCCTCCGGCCTTAGGGGTTTTCAGAATCCTGATCCCCAAGGCCCAGGCAACCATGATCCCCAAGGCCCGGGCATTTCAGCACCCCCAAGCTCTAGGGATCATGGCAGCTGTGATCCTCAGGGCTCAGCCATTTCATGCTGGGCATGGTACATCCCAGCAGTTGGGAGTCCTGTTAGCTGCTGGGACTCCCATCTGCAAAGTAGACCCTGCTAAACATGCAAATTAAAGCTTGATAGCAACCTGCTATAAAGTGAGTACATGTTGTCAAGGTCTAATTTTGTAGCTGCTTGGAGCTTTTTATCATGTGATAGCTACTTTGCATGTGTAGCTGATCTCCAGGTAACTGCACATTTAACCAGTTAATTGTGCAATACTTGTAATGTGTAGAGGGACTCTCAAACAGCTAAATAAGTAATATTCTTTTCAGAAACATCGAGCACCTATCCACCATTATCATTGGGAGCTGATGTGTGACCTGCAGATTTGAAGGTCTCGCCCTTATGTAGGTTCCTCAGTAAGAACAATAAAGTGTAACTTCAGCAGTTGTTTCTGATATCTTGACTGTAATACATTTTGTTGGTTGTCAGCTCCCATGCTGTTATAGAAAACATGGAGAAAAACAGCCAACTCACCTAATTTCTCCACTCCTAAAGCCCATTTTACATGTCCTTGTTTCTTTTCATTTCCAGCTTCACTTGCATTAATATTTCCTTGAGTATCCTTCATGAACAAGTGACCCCTCTGCCTTTTTCCTATTTCACTGTAGGCCTGGAATGCCCTCCCTATTCTGCATACCCCTTCATCGAGTCTCATAACTATCCAGACATGAGGGTGATTCAACAACCATTTGACAGACTGTCTAATCAAGTAAATAAAATTCAGTCAGAACTAGTCTTACTGGAAAAGCACATTGCCTTCAGGTGAAAGCTCTGTTGGCAGATCTTGGGGGTAATCTTGAAGCATCAAATGACTGTGAGGCTGTCCAAACTCACAGTGGCTAGGAGTTGCATGCTGTACCAGTCACAAGCCTCTGGCTACATCTTACAAGGGCTGCTTGTCTTGTGGGCTGCAAGTGTAGGCTCCCAGGACCTCTATCGTACACAGCCCCCTTGCTGCATGAGCAGCTCAAGCTCCCCACTCAAGCATCGGCACAGGCAAGCTCTTATCTCACTCCCCTACCCCTCCATTCCCATGTAAGCAACTTGAGCCCCCACTCCCCCGCCCCACAGTCTCGGCTGCTGCACAGCCAGGAGACCTGCCAGTGGCAACCAGAAGAACAGCAGGCTGTACTTTAACCTCTCCCTGGTTGTATGTGGCCTGTGGACTGCCACTTGGACAATTCTGGCTTCTAGGTTTGAGCTCTCTCCTTTTATATGAATACTGGGTTGTTGTTTTTTTAACTATGTTCTGCCTTCTTAATGTTCACCCTCCTTATAATGTTCTTTATCCATATCTGTTTTCAGTAGTTTATCCACTGAAGTTTATCTAGCTATTTGCACAAGCCATCTCTGACAACACTGATCTGCTAGATCTTAGCTAAGCAAACACTGCAGACATGTATTCAGTTGACAGTTAGACTTCTGGTAGAGATATGACAGTCAACAGGGCCTTTTTTTGAATCCCAAGTCTCATCAACCTGCCTTTAATTCCAATCAGAAAATTGTCATACCACAAGTTACTTAAAATACAAGACATATTTCATATCTGATACAGAATGAAAGGTATACAGTGAGAGAGGCCTTCAGAAAGATAACCCAGAAGTCTCAAGATGGCTGAAACAATAAAAACTGACTCTTGTGTTACACAAAATAAAATTTAACCGGGGTCTTTTCAGGGATTAAACTGAAAGGTGTTGCAGGACTGGCAGAATTCCTAATCCTACCGTAACTGTATCACATTCCTATTAAACCTGCTGCTCTGTTGCTCAGGAAAGGATTATCTGATAAGAAGGTTCATGAAGCTTTTCAGCTAACACTTCTATTCTAGAGGGGATAAGCTTTCATTTGAAAGCTATTGGCTAAATTTTGACTTGATTAACATCCAGTTTTATGTCCCTAAAATAAACAAGGCATGAGATTTAAGACTCAGAAGAAGGCACTTGTTTACAGTTTCGGTTCATTTGAAGTAATAAGTATTTCCAAACAGTTGAATTATATGGGCAGCTCTGCCAGCATGTCACTTTGATAACAAAATCAATAGTCAAGTTAAACAGAAATGGTAGTGAGTATTTAAAATCATGTTTGGAGTAGCCATATATATTGTGCACATCAGTATCAGCCCTGATACTTCCCATAACTTCACTGATACTTCCCTGATCAGCCCGTAGCTTCTCGGGTCTATGAAAATAAATCACGGCAGTGATAAAGGGTAAAACAAAAGGATAAAGTAGCAAGATGAGGAAGGAATGAATAGAAGTGGTGGTGATGGGGTGCTTGATATAATCACATAGTATCACACATAGTAACTGCGCATGCTATTCAGCATCTTAAGCTTGATTAGTCAAGCAGCTCTAAAAGATTTGGGTCATCAGCTTGATGGAAGTCAAAGCTTGGAAGTCTCTGAACAGACCTATCTTGAGGACTATGTAGACTTATACTACATTACCTCCTTTCTCCAAGGGCAGACCCAAGATTTCCTGAACTGGTGCATGGCACAGCACCCATCAGACCATAGGGTCTGAGGGCAAGTTGGGGCTGGAGCCCCCTGGCTCAGTGGGGGGACACTGGAAAGTCAGGCAGGGAGGAGGCTGTACCCAGCCTATGTGGGGGCAGAGCTGCTCCTGCCCTGCTCCAGCTAGGGGTTCTAGGAAGTGGCTGCATGGGGTGACAGACTCAGCTGGAGACAGCAGCAGTGGCACACTGTTTCCTTCTTCCAGACCCTGCTTTTGACCTGCCCAGTGTTTCACAGTGTTGTAAAAACATTTCATAGAATTAGATCAGATGGAAGTTGAATGCAGCTGGATCAAAGGAATGGGCCAAAAACATGGGCAAACCATTTCTGTTATGAAAACTGTCACTGGATCCGTAATATTTAGGCACAATAGACAAGACCACAGACTAATATCTGTAAGACCCAGGCACAGTAAACTAAATGAAATCCAGTTTACTAGGAGAGAAAATGTCCACACGTTTAGGATTCAAACCTGAGCTTGCATTGATTCTAGCTAATGCTTAGATCATTCAGCTATTCCCTCTAGATGTAAAGAGGTATCACTGTCCCCTTTATTCTCTACTTATGGTGAAAAGAAGCATTGCGGTGTTTCTGGAAGTTGATATACAAAGAATATTTATGTCAAAACACTGCAGCATTCCTCATTAAAATTTTAAGAGTTATCACCTCTGTTGGCTTTGTTCTACTCATGAAAAAGCAGGCTACTTGTATAATATTCCCTTTGCTTAATCATTAACTGCCTCTCTGGAGACTGCCAGTGACATTTATTGATCTGTCCAACACATATGCATCATAAGCATTTTTGCTTGTTTGTGAGATGGACAAACTACAACATTTCTGTACTACAGGCAGTAAAACATGGAACTGAATGGAAGTCCAGCTTTTTATTTCTTGTAAAGGCTTTTACATCTTGCTGCTGTGATCATTAATCACTTTTCTTAAGATTTTGAAGGGGGATTTCTCCTTCTGAAATTGCTTTCAGTCATGGATGTTAAACAGGCATTTAAGAAATGCACTTACTTTTGTCTGTTGAATATGATGAATTCTTTCCTCACTGTTTCCAAGCATTGCTGCAGGTGTACATTCTTTAAAAAAAACCATGACTAGGTTGATTATAAATGCAGAATACAGAAAAGTATATGTAAAATCACAACAAAACTGGTGCCAAACCAAACAGTGTACAGATGAATACGAACAAGCATTTTCCAGGCTCCTTAGGATATCTATCTATCTATCTATCTATCTATCTATATATATATATATAGATAGATAGATAGATAGATATAGTGGCAGGAGTTTTCATGTTTGAATCCTTTAAAGGATTCTTAAGGAATTTTAAGTCTGACAGTTGTAAGAAGAGCGTGTTGTGTGAGCTTCCAAAGACGGAGCAACAGGACATATCAGTGTAAGGACATTAGAGCTTGGAAGATCGTTGCTTTTTATCTCTTGGACAAGTTTAGAATTGTTATACAATGAGCCTCCATATGTGGAATACATCAATTCAGACTATTTACCAGTGTTTAAAGTGTTAAATACAAAGACCTTGTGTACTGTATTCTTTTCATATTAAATACCAGCAGTAGATAAGTACACTTTATTACTTTATCGGTCCATGTGTGGGATGTGCATTTGCTAAGTGGCGGCAATTTTCTAACTTTAAAAAAGTGTATAGGAAAACATTAACTCTTTAAGATGCATAATTATTTTTATGACTGAAATTGTTGCTTTTTTTCAGGTTTCATGATTAAAGAAGAAAAACATAACTAAGCAAAGCCGAGACCAAGCCATTTTTAGATACAATAACTAAATTCTATTTATCAAATTCTTAGAATAAAGGAAATAGGACGCTATCGACAGAAGCCAGAGACCACAACTTACCAGTGGACAGCTTTCCTTTGCTCCATCTTTGGATTTATTTTTTGCAAGTCGCTTTTTCTTTTTATGAAGGGGTTTAGACTCTAAAATCATTTCTTCTAGTTCAAATGTAGGATCACAATTCAGTCTTCCTTTCTGGTACAAAAGGAGACAAAGTCAGTTTTTAAGATATCATTATATTATCTGTTTGTTTGTCCAGTAGTAGACAGCAACAATAAAAAGCCTCTGTCACATTGCACAGGCCAAATTTATCCCTGATGTAATTCTCAAGAATCACAATATTGTTTGACAAGTTTTAACTGTATAAGCTGTGAATAAAAAATTATGACTTTTAGTTTCAGTAATGAATTTTAAACTTTAAACCACAGAATAAAAATACAAGTCCTTAAATTTTAAAAGTCTAGATCCTCTTCTGAATCCAGAAGTGTAAATCCAGAGTAATGTCTACAAAGAAGGCTCCAAGGGGCTCCAAGTGACTTCAGATGAAGTCAGGTGTCTTGCCCAGACTTTGGCCCAGATTGCTGAGGTAACTGCAAGAGTGTAGGAAGGACACAAAGTATTTCACAGACACTACTTGAACCTACAATTTCTACACTCCACTTTCAAAGACATGCATTTGGATATAAATATATGACTCCCTTGCATGATACTAGATGTCCTGCATCCTGCACTCTAGAAACTTAATAAAAATCTATAAAATAATAATGAATATACCTTTTCCTACCAAAAAAAAAATCTTGTAATATACCATAGCAGGAGGCAGCAACATTTTGGTGCTGTTTGCTTGCAACCCAGCTCCCTGTCACAGGCTGCAAATCTCCACACACCCCAGAGAGCTGCAGCCACCTGCACTTACTCTGGCTACTGCTAACTGGCCCCTCTGCAGGCAGGGTGAGCACAGGCACAAGACATCATCAAGGGGGGTTGTAGATGAGCATGCTGTGGAGGGAACAGGTGGGTTGGCTAGGTCAGAACTTCCTGGGCCAGATCCAACCTCTTTGTGGTCCAGTTCCAGCCAGAGGCCCCTAGGTTCCCAACCTCTGTATAACAGAGAAGCTGGTGCCAACACAAAGACTTAATTTCTGTATCTGAGACTGCTTGTGCTCTTATGAATAACAGGTCCTGTCTATACTATTAGTGAAGACTATTAGTGAAGATGCATCACTTCTATAATGACCAGAGAATTCTTTTGTCTGTACACCTTGGCTAGGGACAGACATTCAAAAAGCCAGAGCCTGAACTGATTCAATCTTTCCAGGTTAGCTTAACCTGCAAAGATTGAACTGATTTGCAAGTGCACAGACATTCACATTTCATTCTGGAAATGCAGGCCCATGCTTGCAGTGGCTAAGGCTAGAAGCCAGGGGGCGCTCTTCCTTCCCTTTGCAGCAGCGGCAAGGCTGGAGGGAGGCTGACCAGGGGAGGAGGGGGATGTGGCTGGGGATAATTCATACACCTCAAATACAACTGTCTTACTGCTAGAAGGTCCCTATTATCACTTTGAGGTCTGAATCACTCCCATGTGACAGTGAAGGTCTCTTCTTCTCTCTCAGTCTAATTTCACTTTTCCTTTTACTAATATTATTAGAATCACTGTAACATTTGGATGTGAAATCCTCATTATTACCTCTTTCGATATGAAGGGTCTTATTTTCAATGCTCATTATCCAGGACAAGGACTGGACCTTCAAAATAGCTCAGCTCTCATTTTCAGATACCTAAACAGAGTTGCCAGATTTTCAAGAGTGATAAGAACCCAGAAGCTCCCAGGTGAATAATGAGAAATGACAATAATTTCAACAGAAAATGTTTTAGTTTCCTTTTTTTGATGACTTGTTTAAAGAACCGGAGAGTAAACACACTGATTCCTTTCCTTTATCTTATTTTATTTACACACTTACTTTTAAACATTTTAAATTGAGTTGTGCACCCCAAATCTGAATTTGTGATGCATGAGCCAGAAATAAAGTCCTCTGAGCATATCAATGGCAATCAATATACAAAAGAGGTGTCATCTACTCCTACTTACGTGCTATAGATTCTTTTCAGTCTCAAAGTCTAATTGGGAGGAAAGTTTGTAGGAAGCCTAGGTGAAATGCAAACCAGTCCCTGTCTGGGTACCTTTCCCCTATCTATGAGAGAGATTTATGTGGCCTGCATTATTGTAGCATCAGAGCATTTCACAACTTTTAATGTATTAATCTTGAAAACAAATGACTGTATGATGGGGAAGTGTTATTATCTCCACTTGGTGGAGACAGACTGAGAAAGTTAATGGCATAGCTGTAAATTCAATCCAGGAAATGTAGTAAGCTCCAGGCTAACATCACAATCACTGGACTATCCCTTTTTCACTTATGAAACTAGAACATAACAAATCAGGAAAGTCTGGTCCTGTTCCAGAAACCGAGAGTGTCGCAGCCAGTTCAGCACCCACACTGCATGCAGCATCCCCAGTGGATGCTCTGGTGGGGCAACGGGCATGGGTCCCACATGCAGTGCATGTCCCAAACCAGCCCTGCATGGGCACTGCATGTGGTGCAGTCCCAGACTGGGTACAGTAAGTGTTGCACGTGCTGGATCTGGCAGGGGGGCACACACCATTCATCTGAGCTGTGGACCCAGATGAGTTTGACACCCGTGCAGTAAACAAATGAGACTTGGTAGCCTGTAAGCCTCTTTCAAAAGGTCTAGGCACCTCTAGGAAAAAATAAGCTCAGCGTTCTAGTTTACATAAGTAAAAAACTGGGATGTAACTCCCCAAATTCTCGTGTCATTTTCTGGTATGGTGGAGCCTACCACTAGGAACAGCACTGAGGTAAAGCACATCATGGTAAAGTGCCAGCTAGCTAACTGTGACATGGCACTATATCTGCATGGTCCATCACAGACCCATTAACATTTCATTCAGCCATCTGCATCCTAAATGGAGCTGTTTGATTTTTAGACCAGTTTATTTTTCTCCTACAAATAATTTTTGTTTAACTGTCAATATAAACAGTGTGTGATGCATCTGATCCTTAAGACTCCCTCATAATTTCTTTAGCTAAAACATGATTTTTCTCAGCTGCTATTCTGTCTCTCATGATTACTAAGGTTATTTTTTAAAGTTCTAGGGTATAGCAATTTATAAGGAAAATATATTCTCATTTTTGTCAAACTTTACTTTCTTTTCCAGCTTGCACAGTTTAGAGATTTTCTTTGAAAAAAAAAATCATTTGAAAAAAAATTGTCAGGTGTCTAAAAACGAAAGAAACTCAATTATATTTAAAATCACCTTCTTCCTTCTGCTTTATCAAATATTGAACAATCTGCAAAGAAACTGCATAAAAGAAACACTGAGCTTAACACTATGAGTAGCTGAATAGAAAGATGCCTCCATGATATTGAGGGTCCCTTGACACATGCAGGTAAAGGCGTGATGGGGTCTAATGCTTGATCCACACAATTGCACCTCCTGTCATGCCACACATACATGGCAGGAGGCATGATTATGGGATCATGCATTAGATTTCACTATGCCCCTGCTGGTGCAGGCAGAGCCCTGTCAGCTGAGCAGGCTCTTGGCTGTGGGCACTTGCTTCTTGCCAGTGCATGGGGACCATGTGATCCTGGCAAGAAGCAAGCTCCCACAGATGGGAACAGGGGTGGCTATAGCCACACCAAAATTCACTTTAGCCCCCCCATAGCCACCCTTCCTACCTCCCTGGGCCACTGCTGCCCACCCCAGGCAGCTGAGTCTGGCCCATTGTCACCTGCAGCCCGCCTTA